CATGATCTCATTCGCAAAGACGTATCAAATTAACTTATTATTAGAGGAGAAGCCCTTAGTCAAAATATTGAAGATTTGTGTAAAATCGTGTCCATGTCGAACGAATTAATTAGAGAGTAGCTGACTTGTATACTTAACTAAAAAAATAAAAAAAAAATAAAAAAATCTAGGGGTTCGTCGAAAGAATGCGGGAGACGTCAAAGGATTGTTACGCTCGCGTCGATCTTAAAGCGCTTCTCGACGGGATTTCCGGCATGGGATGTGCATTTCGACATGGCCGCGGTTCCGGGGAACCAGGAGACCATCACGAGATCGTTATTTAATTTCATACATGCACGCCGTCCTTGCGCGACGTTCAAGTCGGCCACAAGCGTATAAATGAGTACAAATTGCAGCCCTTTAACCTTCGTGTTAAAAAAAGTACAGGCGGGATGTAGCCTTCTAACGAGTGTAAGAAACCTTGACGATTCGTCGTGTTGTCAAAAATGGACATATCTTCCAAATGGTTACGCTCTTTCTTTTCAAGTTTACTCTGGTGAAAAAAAATCTCATAATATCTCATAATATTTTTAAGAATTTGTCATATTTTCAATTTATAAAGATTTCTGAAAAAACTTTTTTAGATTTTATAAATTTTTAAAAAAAATTATAGAATATGAAATCTTAGAAGTCCTAGGATATTTCAGAATTCATATATATGAAGAATTCTACTAGATGTAGACAATTTTTTGTAAAAAGTATTCCATTTTCATAAAAAAAATTTTTTAGAAAGTTATACAAGTTATATAGAAATTCTGAAATTTATTTAAAAATTCTGAAAAATTTTATATGAAGAATTTTAAGAACAATTTTCACCAGAGTACTTTTACCCTGAGCGATCGTCGATGCTTTTTACACTTTTTATGAAGCACTCTACGCAGTCGACGAAGGCAATCGACAGAAATACAGTTGGACCTCTATATTCTAATCTTCTATTCTTAACTTTTACAGTTTACGAAACGTTCTGACATCACGAAATCAATATTATATTTTGCATCCTATTATATCTTAAATATATAGAAATTAAGAAATATTATTCAATATTTAATTAATATTTATTTTATATGAGGAAACATATAATTATCTATAAGCGTTAAAATTTTGCTTAGCTCATTTGTTTATTTATTACAGTAATGGAAATTTTAATTCGCTGAGTTGATCTTTGGATACTATTAGATCATTTAAAAAGTATCCGCGGTTTTTTGTTCAATTTTTGAATGAAGAAACCACGGATACTTTTTAAATGACCCAATATTATTAAATATGTAATTTTGTGATTTTAAAAAAAGAGCTTGCGGTCCTTCAAGGATTAAAGTGTTAAATTTCCACAATTGAATTTCCACAAATTTCATTTTTTTTCTCTTATACTATTCGATTTCTCCACGAGATTTATGTCGTCTTTCATTCACTTTCTCATTCCGAATTAATCGCTAATGTACTATTTTGTTTCCCGTTTAAAATTATTAGAATATAGGAGATTAAAAATAGGAAGGTTGCGAAATTAACTAAGAATACGGAGATTCGACAGTACATCTGATCGATTTGTAGTTACTGAAGCGTCGAATCGTTTCCTCTACAAAAGAAAACGATATCGATTTATCTCCCGCCCCGCCTTCGAACGGAGAATCACGATCGTGTTTTACTAGCCTCATTCGACAACGAAAAGCTCCATTGAAAGCTAAAGGATACTTTCGAACCGGTCATATCCTATAGAAAAATATTATGTCAGGATACTAAGCGCGAATTGAATACAAATGGATAATAAATCACAGGGACGAAAAAGAAGCGGAAATCGGCGAAGGTGAATTTACTTTCCGCTTCCGGCGAACGCACTGCCGATTGTAACATGCTTTCTGCGTAGCGAAACAATCGAGAGGCTTAAAATTCGGTATCTTTGAGAAGGCCCCCAAGTATTTTTCTATAAGGACTCGAGGACGTTCTTTTCGTGATAGAGTTTTAAGAAAATTCGTCCTGTATGTTTGCGTGCGTGTATATCAATCAAGTCCGGAATCACATAAGAATCTTGTTGACCTTTTGCGATGTTTAATTGCAGTTACGCGGTTTCGGGATTAATGAGAATCCCTTGTTAAATCTTGAAACTATTTCTATGGAAGAAAGGGGGGGGGGGGGGGAGAGAGTATGTCGTCACGGTGATCCTCGAACCTCTATGTATTTTTCGATTACGCAACGGCGCGGACGGTACGCTATGTCGGTATGTCCGTATTAATAGTTCATAATAGCCGAGGCAAGGAATATAACATCATGTTAACATTGACTTAACTTTGATTGCCATATCATCCATATCCAGGTGACACATAAAATTCGCAAGTTTCATCATTTATGGATGATCGTCACTCGCAAATATTCTTTATATTTTAATTAATGATAATTTGCATTGTCTCTTTAATATCTTAAAGTCTTAAATACTTAATAAAATCAAACCAATAAAAATTGTCAGTAAGAGCCACAGTTATTAGTGCTGAAATATTAACAAATTATTAATAAATTACACAGTGCTTGTAAAGATGGATACAAATAATTTAAACATGCAAACGTATTTTTACGATGATATGATTATTACACCAGATTAATTATTGTATATTTGTATTGTGTATTTGTCTAACTTTGCTGATTCCGGATTACTCTTACGCATGTCTTTGGATTTTATATAATTTGACTATCAGAAATTTTATTCAATTTGCGTTGCAGGAGCTGTAGGGATTGGAATTTTTTTTACTTTTTGTTTCTCATTTATCGAAGAGGACTCGAATTAGACGAAACGTCTGCATTAAATTGTTTGTCATCATCTTTGCGAACATTACGTAATTTATTAATATTTTAGTATTAATAACTACTGTAACTCTTATTGGCAATTTTCAGTGGATCGTGATTTATTCTTGGAGCCAAGAAAATATATATAATATTTTATTTAATTTAATAAAATTATTCTTAATCGGATGAATAAGATAATGATTTTATTTATCTTAATCATCATTTTGTTTATCCGATTAACTTTTACAAGATGAGAGAAAAGCCACTATAATGGCAATGAAACAATATCATATTTTGAGACGAGAAATAATAAAATAACGAATTACATCAAATCTTATGCAAGAAAAAACTAACATTTAAAAAGATCCTTATCGTCCTTTTAAAAGTTAAGAATGATTTTATTAAATATACTCATTCGTAAAAAATATGGATCACTGTATCGATAAGTGATCTATAATATTTACAAGTGAATATTTAAAATATTAAAGAAATAATATAAATTATAATTAATTAAAATGAAGAAAACAGTAAAATATTAAAATGATACACTATATTTATTAAGCTCAATACCGAAATCAGCTTGGCAATCAAAGTGTTAATATATTATCGCTATGAATGACAAGGCGATGATTGGTTTCGATTCTTTGAGGATAGAAGTGCAGAAATCTGAAAAATAATCGTGAGACTCGACGATAACGAGGACAAATCGAGATAGTGTTAACGTTATGTCAACGGCTGATTTCTAAGAATTTTACGAAGCATTACGAAGCTGTGAAATAAATCTGCTTAGACACGATTATCACGTATATAGATCGCGCGGTAAGAATGTAACGAAGGCTGTAAACGTCCTATAATTAATGCGAATATAACTGAGGATTCTGAGGGGGGTGCTTTTTGTATAACACGAGGTAACGAACGCGACAAATACAAGATAGACTGAAAGAGAAAAAATAGAGAAGAAAAGTTGCGTGTGTATGTGTGAGTGAGATCGAGAAATTCTTCGCCGGGAAAGAAAATAAAAGAGCGATATTTTCGCTTTCCGAAAACGGCCGCTCCTTCTCTCGGGAGCTCCATTCGTTGATATGTAATTATTTAATCGGCAGGCAAGCGTGAAGAGATAGCACGGATATTAATGGCGATAAGGAGATAGAGAAGCGCCAAAGTCGATAAGAAGAAAACGAAGAGAAAGTCAGAGTCAAGAGAGATTTGTAATATCGTTGCGCCAGATTATAATTACTATTAGCCGTACATATACTTTATTGGAATATATGAATTATTAACGGGGAGAAAAAGTCGAAAATAAAGAGAGAGGCAAACATGGAAACATTGTCTCGATCTTGTTATTCTACAAAACCCATTCTCTTCCAATTTCTAACAAAAATAAAAATCGGAGCGTATAAGTCGAATGTGAAGGGAAAATAACAGAAGCGTAAACGAAACTTCTAAGAAGATTGGATCAACGAAACATAGAAAAGCATTTATATCTCGTAAAACGTTTCTTTTATTTTCCACTCCAATGGTTCTCATAGAAATTTCGTTTTTTTTATTTACGTTATGGTTATAAAATATTTTTTTTAATTCATCATATAAATAATTTTTCAGAATTTTTACGTAAATTTCATATTTTTATATTTTTATAACTTTTTAGAAACTTTAGACTTTTAGATTTTTTTCTTATACGAACAATTTTATTGGAACAATTTTCAGAAATGCTGAAAAAAATCTTTTCTAAAATTAATATATATGTATATAAAATATTTTAAGATTTTTAAGATTTCTCATTCTATAAATTCTGAAGAAAAAGTTTAAGATTTTATTTTTTTTGGAAATCTTCATAAATTTGAAATATATGACAAAATTCTTAAAAATATTATAATAAAATTTTTTTTTATCAAGATACTTCTGTTATTCTTTCTTTACATGAGAATTTAAAATTTTCAAATAATTTTATTGCGAAAATATTTACATTTTACACTTAGACCAAATCAATGCACAACAGCTTTAATATTAATATGCCCAACCGAATTCGCTATTAAATTTCTTCCTGAGGAGGAAGGGAGGAGATTTCTCGGCCATCTAAAATAGCAATGACGGAATGACGTCTAAATTGTTGTCCTTGCAAATGTGATATTTTCGGGAGGAGAATGTCACCCTCGCTCGCTTATTTCTGACAGCGTATTTCACAGACAATATTGATCAAATACGGTGGTTCATGCACGTCGCGGAGACACGCACGCGGCACTCAACGTAAAGCGGAGACGAGACTTAGTTGAGTATTCTCGACGACAACGAGACGAACGCGACGGAAAAAAATTGTGTTGCGAAAATATGTCCGAACAACAAACGGATTCGTACGACTCGAGACCGGTAACGTCGAAGAAGTCAGAGAGACCGCCGTTTAAATTGTGTTTCTCGCGAAACCAGCAAATCGGGAAATCCGACGCTTGCATATCAAAAACAAACGGTATATAAATTATTAAAAAAAACAGGGTGACTTCTATATCCAATTAAAAATCCATTATTAATTACATATTGTATATTATGGATTGTTCTGCAATTTATCAGTATTTGAAATCATTATGTGTATAGATTTATTCAATATTTAAAAAAAAGTAAATAGAAAATTAAATAAAAAAAAAATAGTTTAGATTCTCGATCAGTAAAGAAAATTATTGTGACTGAGCTTTATTTTTTCGTTGCTGGAATGTAAAAATAATTCCATATTATTATTTCCGGGTTAATATATATATTTCGTCAATGGCAGAGAATTTTCTTAAATTTTACTCAGATAACGGCGAAAGGAATATCCGATGGATTTGAGACACCAATACAGATTTCGAAAAATGACACGTATGTCAGAAACGGGAATACTAGTATATATTCATAATCTCTGTACAATTTTGTTAGCTTCAAATTTGAGCTATCGATTAAAAATTAACGAGACTGCCATAAAGTCTTGCCGCGAAATTAATCCTTAATTGATATCTTGGAATTATAACGAATTCAACTTGTTATTAATTTTGTTCGGCTATTAGCTGAGTAAAATTCTCAAAATTGGAGACATTAACTATTCAACAGTCAAAAATATTTTAGTTTCTTTTTAAAATAATTTTTAAAAAAATATTTATTTCCTTAGACAAAATACTGTTGTTTTTAAATGCAATACCTAAATACAATAAAATTATTACAAGAAAAATAAAAAATTGATACACTGATAGGAAAAATGATCGTTATTATCATATTTATAATTTAAATCTAATTTTTAATCATTTTCTAACATTATTATACTAATATTACTAACATTAAAACATGGAATTATAAAAATGAAGCTTCCAATCATAATTATTTTATCATGAAATTATCACAAATACCAAACACTTTTCTCTCACAATTAGTATTTATTTCAGCGTAAAATAAATTGTTCGCTGATGATCCCACAATACTTTACATGTAATAAAAGAGGAATATCAGTTAAGGATTAACTTGCGGTGGATCGTTTTTCATTGGTGAACTTGCTCAATCTATCCGAATTTATTAAACACGAATGAAAAAGACGCAGTGTCGGCGCGATCGCGATCTCGATTTTAGCAAAGCGAAGCTACGAGCCAAGCGTAATACGATCTGAAATAAATGCGCACGCGAAGTTGCAAATCAATTGCAGCGGACTTCGTCACGCCGAAATTCTACTCGAGGGAACTCGAAGACGCGCGAAATGCGGACGTAAGCGACATGCTCGAGAAACTCGCCACGGAACAAGACAAGAAGCCGAGGAACTTGTACCAATTGCCGTTATTGACTAGCCACACGTAATTCCTGCATCTTAACGATCCGCACGTCGATTTTCTCGGATATCTACCGTTCCAACAGCTAATTATGACAATTTTCAGTTACGGTTGGTGGCACGACAAGGGGATACATCCGAAGGACGCGCGGTTTGACTTTCACAAGAGAACGTCCGACCTGGTGAGCTTCCAGATGAAAATTTACGCCGAGGATCGAAAGTTGAAAGGCCTCAAACAATAAACTCGAAATCAATATTCGCGAATTCAGCTGTTTCATATTTCATCATTCGCAATTGAAGTATAGTATTTAAGTATAATATTTAATAATAATTTATGTAATAATAGTAATTTAATTATAATTCTATAATACAATAAATTCAAATGCATATTCTGATTATCATATAATAGGATTATTTATTCATTTTTGAACCTTTTTGATAATAAAAAAAAAGTGTTTTATTATAAATGATATGTACAAATAAAAATAATTTTGCTATGAAACGCAGGGCTTATAAAAAATTGTCAAATTTGTTTGCTGTTTTTATCAAATAAATTCACATGTTTGATAAATATTTTGTTCCAAATCGTCTTTTGTAGCGAGTAATAGTAATGTTTCCATTTAAAGATGCTACTCAAGCAGAACAATAAGTCAAAATTACGTTAAAATGAATCGGAAATGACTAAAAAATGATTTTTAATGATCATTTTGAAGACATTTTGATATCATAATGAATGATTTGTTGCTCTGCTTGGATAACTATAAAATTAAAATAGAGCTTAAAGCAAATTCATGTTAAAAAGTTTAAAGGTCTGTTGTAAATCGGAATATTAAAGTCTCAGTTGGTTTAAACGCATTCATTTCTAGTAATATTAAATTAACATTAATCTCGATTTAATTTACTTTCTTTTAAGTTTTAAAAAAGATAAAAAATATACATCCGCGTTTTGAGAGTTGATTGATAAAAAATGGATTATAAGGGTAAAAATTTAGTAAAATTTAGCTATCACCCGGGTATTATTCTTGTTTAATATTCGGTAAACAACAAGGATAGAGTGATACCTGAGTGATATGCGGGTGGAAATTTAAATATAGTCCTCGTGGATTGTGCCATTCGTGTAAAATCGATAAAAATGAGAGAGATAGGACGCGAAGACGATCAATTTCAATCTCTTTCTATTTAACCAATCATAATATATTAGAAAAAGAAGGAAATCAACTGTCTTTAGAGTCCAATCGGAACCACATTTTGACTTTCGGCCGAAACCGAAAACGAATATTCGGTTGCCGTTCAATTTCGGCCAAAAACAAAACCGAAACTTATTGTTAGATAAGTCTTACTTTAAAAAAAAAAAGAGAAAGAAAGAGAGAAATTAAAACGGAGTCACATATTTTTCTGCCGGAAGAGTCGAAATCGACACTTTTGGATTAAATTGACAGAGATCATATGATTTTCAGAAATCATGACAAATTTATGTATTCTTTAAAAAATAGGATTTTATTAAAATATCTAACTATAATAATATAATAATATTGCATTCTCAACTTTTAAAGAAATCAAATCACATCAAAGTTATTATCGAAATTTTCTCTTAATTTCGGTTGAAACCGAAATTTCGATCAGTCTCTAGTCGTCTTCACGATCCTTCTCTATCATCTTTGTTGATCACATTATCATTTAGATAACGCAGTTTATCTGCTATTTCATGTCTCATGCCTTTATTTACCTTTTCAGCTAGGTATACACATCGATAAAACCAAATTCGGTGCGCATGCACGAAAATCAGGACGCCGATGAAACGTTGCGCGAAACCACGCGATGACGCGGTCACGCTCGTAGCCGAACTCCGAAGTTGAACATGAAAAAGGCGCGAAATCGAGATGCACGGTGCGCGGCGCTGCTGTCGCGCGTTGCGCATGCGCGGCGCACGTTCCAGCCGTTTCGATATCTCGCTGCGTTCCCGCCTTTTGACGGCCGGCCAATCTACGGTCGTCTCATCGAGCCGGCTCGGCGGGATAATCACGCGCGCGCGGGACGGATCGCTACGGAGCGATTTGTTTTGCCAGGATATACCAGTATATACGGAGCCAGTGGGGCGCGCCTCAACGAGTGGATTTTGGTATCTTGCGGAGATTTGAAAGGATATCCAGGCTGGCTCGCGGCGGTTTTCGCTAAGGATGAGTTCCATTGTGATCGAGCACGCACGACTACACGAAAAATCGAAGAAGTTCCGTCCGTCGAGATCCCAGGAGTCAGAGATCTCCCTGCCCGAAAGGTTAGGCTTTATATCCTTGTCATGTCGCTTTTGGTTATCTGCTAGATCGGCCTCATACCTACTCCAACTTCTTTACCTGTTGCCTGTGCTTTCTTGGGAACGGGGAGGGGGGGAGAGGAAACAGGACAGCAGGTGTACACTGTACACCCGCGCGCGCTCTTTCGCTCGCCCTCTTGTAAGTAAGGTTACCGAGATATGCTCGGGGCGTTTTGTTGTCTTTTCTTGGTTGCGAGGAACGTTCTGAATAGTATTGAATAGTGCTCAAAGTATTCTACGACCGACTGTCCTGGCTTTGTTGTGCCTCACAGTGAACGCTCGAATGTACTGCGATCCATAGTCGAGATTTTGCTGTCGAGAAATCGCCACGTTTTTGGCTGTCGGTCGTAAGTTTTTTCCTGTATTTTCGCAAACAAATTCAATGTTCGTCGTATTTTAGGAGAGTTTCGGATTTGGGAAACTTCGGTTGTAATCTTAACGGATTATCTTCGTGATTTTGTCAAATGTAAGATTGAAGTTCGCAATTGTACCACTCATGAGATTTATGGAGTAAATATGTGTTCTTAACAAGTAAAATAGTAAATAACAGCAAAACTATGTATATTTTTTTTGGTAGACCTTTGGCAAGGATTGGTTCAAATAATATTCTTTTGCTTTTTTATATGCATGATCATATATAAATGAGTCTCTTAATTTTCTCTTTGCTGTTATGTACTTCTTTGTCTTTAGTTTTATTTAAGAAGACAAATTTATTCTTTTTGCGATTTGTATGTAACATTAATAGTATTTTGCATTGTGATCTTTGTGATTAATATCTAATATACTTTGTATGTGTAATTCAAATACTAATCCTTTCCTACAGTATTTGCCTGGTTTTATAACAGTTCATTGTAAGAACTTGATATCATTTCAATTTGGAGAATAAGAGCTTCTGTATCTGTTCACATATAATGAATAAAGATCCATCTTCTTCATCATCACCTTGGTGGAACAGGTTTATATATAATTTGTTCCTTTACAATTGAATTGGTATGTTTGTATTTAAGTTGTTTTTTTAATAAAAGAGTTCTCCATATATGTTCACAGTAAACGATTACGTTTGGACGACGGCTGTAATAACAATTTAAACAATACTCTCAACAGTCACTCTGAAAATAGTACAAAATGGCCATATTCTGGAGATGCCAGTCTCATTGAACCTGAAATCCTAGAAGATATGGGCGTTAGCATGTTAGAAGATGGAATAACTAATTGTGAAAATACAAAAAGACTACAATCCGAAGGGTGTACGATCTTAGCGGAGAATTTAGCTAGTAATAATAGATCAATAATAGATGATTCTGATATTTTTGGATATCAAGAAGAAGTTTATACAAGTTCTAGTTTGGAAATTGCGATTTCAGAAAGGTTTGTGATAACAAAAATTGCTGGTTTTAAATTATGTCTATTATTCACACACACACATATATATATATATATAAACATATATAATTATTCTTACAGGGTTCAACAAGATTCATGTGATACAGATGATTTAACTGGATTTGGTGGTACAGAGAATGAATCTGGCTATTCTTCAAGAATGGAAGCTGATTACTTTGGAGATTTAAAAGAGAGCTTTACCAAGGAAAAGATTAACACTTCTGCCGAAAAAAATGAGCAATCTTGTTTAGATCAATTTTGCTTGTTTAGGAGAAAAAAAAGACCTTCCGTTTATGGCGAGGATAAGTTTAACAAGTTATCAGATGAAATAATTTTGATGATATTGAAATGGTTACCTAAGAAATGTTTGGTAAGAATAGTAACACAGTATTAAATGTAATTTAATAAATTATGTACATGTCTCAATTGTATAAATTATTTCGTGTGCAGGTACGCTCTATGCTAGTATGCAAACGTTGGTGCCAAATAGCTCAAGATGAAGCATTATGGACTAGATTAGATATGGGTAGTAAAGTTTTAAATGAAGGCACATTAGGGCATATATTGCCGCGAGGGGTTCAAATTTTAAGACTGGCACAGGCGGAAATTGCGGATCCTGTCTTTTGTGAAGGCAATCAAGTCCTTAGCGATTCTTATATCAGTAAATTACAGTACTTGGATTTGTCTATGGCGGTCATATCACCAATGAGTTTGGCTATCTTATTATCCAAATGTAAATGTCTGAAAAAATTGTCACTGGAAAAATGTATAGTAAATAGAGATTGCTGTAGAGCGATTAGTCAAAACACTGAATTAGAAGTTTTGAATTTAACAATGTGCGAAAATATAAATATCGGATGTATTATGGATTTAATGGAACTTAAATGGTAAAATTATTAATCTATTTCTATATGTAATAAATGTTTACGCAGTTCCCAATTTTAACACAATCGGATTGTTTCAGCTTAACTGCCTTCAACATAGCATGGTGTTCTTTGGATAACGAATGTATAACGTTACTTTGCAGAACATTGCCAAAATCCATTACTCGCTTGAACTTAGCGGGTTGTAGAAAGACAATGACTGATGAAAGTAAGTATGGTAATTGGGATTTTTATTATTTACTGACTTTAACATGCATTTTTTTCTAAATTTCAGACGTAAAGGACTTGTTAAGAAGATGTCCGGATATTATAGAATTAGACCTGAGTGATTGCGCTATGCTTACAATGCATACCGTCCATAATTTATTAAACTTTTCAAAGCTCGAGCACTTATCACTGAGTCGTTGTTACAGCATCCCACAATCGGCATATATAAGATTAGCTACTATGCCGTGTTTATTGTATTTAGATGTTTTTGGCTTAATGACTGAATCAGTGCTTAAATCATTACAAGCTACTTGCCGTGAACCTGAAATTAACAAGTACCTATATAGTTCGGTAGCGAGGCCAACAGTCGGTATTCGAAGAACCAGTATTTGGGGTCTTCGAGTTAGAGATTAAATTTAATATGTAGGCAATTCATCAATTTACAAGAGATTTCATCGATAGATCGAGGGATGGATTTGACCAAAGGGTAACTCTGATCTATATATAATGTTGCATTTTTCTACTCAGACTGAATATTGTATCGATAAAAAGTTAAATTTAATTTGGAGAAATGAAATGTAGATTTTTAAGGTAATAGTATAGTTCTTCCAAAGTTTAATATTGAATTGTTGCTCAGATATATAGAATTCTTTGTAAGTAGAATATCTCAGACTTATCGTTAATGGCAGTTTTCCCAAGGTTGTTTTGACATGAAAATTCCAATACTAAAATGTAAGTAATATATTTTAAATAAAAAGTGTTTATACGCGCACAATAGTGAAAATGTTTTCAAGCATCATTGATATAATTCTGTATATGTATATATCTTCACTGTTATGTGATGTCATATTTGAGCGAACAAAATTAGGAAAATTTGATCGCTCAACTTTAAACACTTACTTAAAAATTATTGTTGAAAATGATTAGGAATCTGCCATTAATGGGTATTATAAGTCTGCAACACTTATATACGTACTATTCCTATATGGAGCATTTGCTGATATTTAACATACTAAGTTATTTCGGCTGTGTGAGACCGTTTTACTATTTTACAATTTTCTAATCATGGTATATATATTGAATTTTGTCAAGGACTTATTTTGCTATACATGTATTAATTTTTAATAGTAAAGATCTCAAAAAAATAATATAATGATGGCCAGGTATATATATACATATTCGTATATTATTTACAACAAAAAGAAGTCATAAAATGCAAAAGTTCAAATTTACTTTGTATTTGTGATAAAAAATAACTGCCTACTATTAGTAAAAATAATTATATAAATTGATCAATTTGTTGTGCATACAATAAAATTGCTTAAACTGAAAATTGGGTTTTTTTTTATGTTGAATACATATTTGTCATTGTCATATTGTTATATTGATATGCAGTTAAAATATTTTTAATTTAAATTTATATATAATTTTTTAGTGTTCTTATATTAAGCAGTAACTTTAGTTAATTATTCGAATAAATATTATTGTACGTTTAATTAAAATTGCAACAATTATGTATGTATTTAGGCACGCATATATCGTATTTAAATATTTGTATATGAATGATTTTGTGTGTGTTTTGCATAATAGTCATGATTTTATTCATGTTAGAATAGTTAGCGGAAAAGAATTTACAAATAAAACTTTTGAAATTGACATTCGAAGTTTTGCTTTGTGCGATTTTCTATCCCGTCAGATTTTTCTAATTCTGATTTTTCAAAATTTTTATTTTTTCCGAATTGAATTTATTACTTAAAATTTAGAGATTTACTCAGAATCATAATTCTTAGAATTAAAAAAAAATTTAATAATATTAATATAATTATAAGATTAATAATTTATATTAATAAAAAAGGCTGATAAGAAGAAAGAGAGAAAGAGAAAAGAATTGAACTGATTTTTTGTGCTAATACGTGCATCACAAATTAATGAATATATAATGATAAATTAATAATAAAATTATACAGACGTGCGTTTCGACTTTTAATGCAATCATCTTTAACGCCAATCGAGTCAAATAATAAAAACTAAACCTAATACAGCAATTAAAATGTTGGATTTCGATCAAAAAATTAAAAGTAATCGTACGTATATTTTACACACACACACACACACACACACATTGTATCGATGATTTCTTCAAACTATTGTTAAAAATTGTAGCACGCATAACGATTTTAATATTAATTATCCAAATATAACAAGTAGGGCTGTTTTCTTTCGAAATTTAGGAAAATACATTATATATTTGTAAATCTATATTTTTAAATAAAAGTATATATCATAATTTAATATAACTATTAGCTACATTCAATTAACAATTGTATAATTTCGATTCTTTGATTTTGAAAGATTAATAGCCAAATTTCGAAGTTTCAAAGTTCAAATGTTTGAACACACACATTTTGCTATAACCTACACTTAGCTCTAATAAAAAGAGCGTTGCATATATTAACAAAGAATGAATAAATCTCTAGAAGTATGCCCCAAAAATTGTGCTGAGATGTCAGACAACAACAATAATTATTGTATATGCTAGAGAAATATCGTCAAATAAAGGATTTTTTAATATTTCCATTTTTACAATTTGAATTTTATGTATTTAAAATTTTTATTATAACTCTCGAAATTTTAATTAATGTTACTTTTTATCCGATTATATTTTTATTTGATAATTTTTGAATTTGTATATTTTTGTGATTTACAAATATCGATGATTATGTATGACCGATAAAATCAGTATTACTTTTATCGATCGTAAATAAAATATATTATCAATACTTAATTTCCTAGAAAATTTAAATTCAAAAATAAACAAATGAATTCGGGAGAAGATTTTTAGGTAAGAGATAAATTACAAAAATTCGAAGATTTGTAGTATTCCAAGAATCTCTCTCGAAAAATAACAAAATACTCAAACATCAACGGCCTCTTTCGCGTGTTCTCCAAATATTAGAAAAATTAAAATTAGCCTTATCTCCATTGAAGGAAGTTCAAGAAGAAGGGGAAGAAAAAGAAGACATGTGCCTTCCTTTAGAATCCCTATACTAAGGTTCTAATCTTCCAATCGTTTCCTATTCCGATCAGTTTCCTCTTTATTCGCATGCGCGATAATTCTAGTAACTTTCCACGCCTCCTCCTAAGCATACCACAGACGGAGTTTCGCATGCGCTTCATTCCAAAAAAAAACCATCAGCCATATTGGTGTGTTGTATCGCTGTCCTCAGTAATTTCGAAGATCAGCAAAGGTATTTTTCCCGTAGGCCCGTCGCCGTGCTCTACGTCGCGGTCGTGCGGGATCCGGCCGACTGATCGTTTTCCCTGTGGCCGCGCCGTCCCTTTCGCGATCCGTCGCGCATGCAAATCACCCCGATGTTCGCCAGCAAAAAAAGTTTGGTTAATGTTGCCACCTCGGCTCGCGGAGTAACCAGCTCCGCTCGCGCTTTATGAGAGCACGTCATGGAATACACATGAAATACGCGACTGTCTCGCGGTAACGCGCGTCCGTGACGCTCGACGTTGCCACCGTTGGCTGTGTCGCGACGCCATGTCCCCCGGGGGGATGCATGCGATTAACGAGGTTCGCGCTGCTGCTCTGTTGTGTGCCACCCTCCGTTCGTTTCTTTTCAAATCTACGTCGCTTTACGTGTCACCGCGTTCGTCGAGGTGACGCGCGCGCGATCCGGTACACCTTTGAGCAACAGGTACAGCCTGTCGGCTTGTACATCCTGCTCCGCGAAATCGTTGCGTTAGATTTTTCGTATCATACACATCACAGGTCCGCATTCAAGTTGTAACAGATGACGGATCTCCCGCCGTGACGGGGAGCAAATTTTTTTATCTATCTGTGATTCCTTGCTAGAAGTTGCGTTATCCTACTGCCTTTCAGTTTCTTACTAATTTTCACACAGTCTGGCAAACATTTGTTTTGCGAATATCATTCAGCACCTGATAAAAAACACCTCGGAACTGTCACGTTACACAATCTGATTCCTGTGTATTCAAGATTTTTGTAAGATGCTTTCTAAGACTTATCTTTATAGCGTAACATGTTATGTTTTTTTATATTATATTATATTGTGCTTTTTTATAAATTGTAGATTTCATTTGTCTTGTTTTTCTTTTTTTCAGGAGATAGTGCATCATGACTGATTCCATGAAATTTGGTCCAGAGTGGTATGTGATTTATGTCACTGGTGAAACATTAGAACGTCATTTAGTTATGTTTAGAATTGTATTGTATTTATTATATTTATTGTATATAGGTTGCGCAAGGTTTCATCAGGTGATAGTTGCAATACTGGTAGTGGTGGTGGAGGGACAACAACCTTGAGTACACCTCGTTATCAGTTAGCAGAGCATAGATATGGTCGGGAAGAGATGCTGGCCTTGTTCGATCGCAATTGTAAACCTTCGGAGCCATTGACAACTTTTCCAACACTGTATGTGGAGAAAACTCAGTTTCCATTGGCTCTCACAACCATGACAGATGATGAAACGGTAACTTATCACATAAAAAGTGTAAAGTGTATGTAATAATACTTTGTTCTTTGATGATTTTGTTTATTATATGAAGCCTAATTTAATTTATTTTTGCTAATAAGGAAAGAAAAACGCTATGAAATTGTAATATTATTGTATATTCTTATTTCATCTTATATTAGAGATTATCTAAAAATTAACAATTCCAGTTTTCTTGCAATAGAGTTCTTATAGAGTTATCATAAAATTGGAAATCAAAGAATTAGCAAGGAAATTGAAAACGATCAGGAAAAAATCAGGGAATTTTGCAAAATTTTGTTGAAAATAAAAATTCTTGGCTTTAAAGAAGTTTAATGTATTTTCATCACACTGATAATAGTTTTAGGACATTACCAATTTAAAAATGCAAGTGTGTTAGTAGCATTAATGATAATTTACATTGCTATGTTAAATTGATCTCTTAACAAAATATAAAACGATTTCCAATCTGGACTAAAATACAAAAAAACTTCAAAATTTTATTAAATGTTAGAGAAATCATGACATTTGTAAAAATCAAGGAAATGTTAATGGAATTTTAGGATGAGAAATTCATGAATACACTCGTATGTTTTTATCAAAAGTATTTGTTTGTTTGCATTTTAATGATAATATTAACGATAAATTATAATTAAGTACTTTTATTTGATATTTTTTTAATTTGTTATTACAATGTATTATATTAAATATTTATTTTTAATTGGGCATTAACCCAAAATAAATTGAATAAACATTTTTTTTTACGGCAGAAACGGTGTTCTCGGTTGTAATCTTGAAGTTTTGAAAATTTTCGCTTTTTAAACACTATTTTAACAATATTATGAAACAAATGTATTTTTTTTGAATAATGTTTTTATATGACTGCTTTGTTCAGGGTTAGGTATTATAAAATTATATACAATTGGAATAAGTTTATTTTATGAAATATAATGTAAATATATGTATTTGAATTTTGCAGCGTATGTGGAATGGAGGGATAACTAATATTGGTAGTAGCCGTGGAAGAGGTAGCAGTGTGGATCGTGGACGTGGTAGAACTGGAAGAGGAGGCTTGTATTCGTCTCATTATTCACGCGGAGTTGGTTTTGATGATTCCGGTGATGGGATACGAACCGAGAGCCAATCATTCCAGGTATGGAAAACCTTTTTTTAAGATATGAATGTGCTTTTTACTAATTTATTTTAAATATAATATTTTCTCTCTCTGTATTTTCCATTATATATGTATAAATTATGCTTAATATATATGTTACAAAGTAAAATCTCAAATTTTACTTTGGCTACATAGCCCTGTTTAGACTAATCTTCAAGCTATCTCAATTTTTTTTACACAGTTTTGATATATCTTAATATTTACTACCATTCCAAGTAAAACCCGATATTAAAGTATTTTTTATTATTTCTTTACCATAGAAACTTGAGAAACTAGATATATCTTAAAATTTATGTACTAGTCCTTTTTATTAAAATTTGTACTTTATGATCAAATGTAACAGGCTCAACACAAAGTGGCAAAATCTCGTAAATTTGATTTATAGGGAAGAAATAGGACGTTTGATAGATCTCAAAGCGAACGCAGCTGGTCAGAAAGAAACGGCGCTTCAGATCCGATAGAATGGAACGGGTCGACTAGTCCTAGAAAGGATATAAATCGTGGGACTAGTAATAGTTCGCTTATGGAGAGTAATTGGAGACGTCATCGTGGAAGCGGAGAGGACGATGATAGTTGGCGCAAATGGGGTAAATACACGTCCTGTTTTTTGTATTTCTTTCACGACTGTTATACGCATATAATATAACTATATAATGAAACAATATATTTATATAGGAAGAAATAATTGGCGCGAAGGTGGTAGCATGGATCGGGATAGATTGGATCGAAATGAGGGTGATGGAGAGGAGGGTAGAGGTGGACCGGGACGATGGGAGCATCGAGGAAACCACAGACCTTCCCATGATTCTGGTCATCATCCACCACCTCGCACTGCTCGCACTTGGGAATCTAATCATCACGATAATCATGACAATCTACCTGAATGGCATGTTGAATGAAATGATTTCTCTCTGTAGAGAGTATATCTCTTTTATCTTATATTCTAAATTTTATATTATAGGGCAACGGAGAATCCAAGTGAGAGTGGCAGTTTTGATGCTTCGGGTGCATTTCACGGTGGAATGTATTCGGATGATGATGAGGACGGTGCAGCCGGTGCTTCCCAACAAGGCAGAACTCGACGCGTCTCGGAAGGAAGTGCTTCGAATGTAGTGAGATCTAATAGCAAATCATTAGCTTTTGGAACAGGTTCTGTTCAATCCTTGAATCGCCATACAAGTAATACAATAGCCAATACATTAAGCAAGGAACGATCAAAACCATTGGATTCGCTTGAAGATAAGGATGATTCTATGCAGAAAGAGAGGAGATGTACCTCACCTTCTGTTAAGTCGACTACTGTGCCGTCGACTGAGAGCATTCCCACAAAGACTTTAGCATCCTCAGATCTCTTGCAGAAGAAGACTATTGGATCTACAAATATGGATAAAATTGAGACTTTAGGTGAGAAATCTAGCGAGCCTCCGAGCGGATCTCATAATAAGGAGAACGTACAACCAGAGATTAAAACGGAGCCACAGATAACTGCTGTGACTAATCGACAAGTTCCTTTAGAGCATCCGAAGCTCGTACATAATACAGGAACTGCTAATGTCAGGCAGAGAACAGAAGATGATCTAGATAGAATGAAAGAGGAAGCCGACGCTTTGGTAGCCAAATTAATGGCAGATGAGGAAAGTCACAAGGAGAAAACAGCCGCTACTAGTGTTCCGCCTGCAATTGGTAATCAATCTTCCACAGTTTCCTCCACGGGTAATCCGGAAAAATGGTTTTACCGTGATCCGCAGGGTGAAGTTCAAGGACCATTTTTAGCTAGTGAAATGGCTGAATGGTATAAGGCTGGTTACTTCACTACGGGATTATTTGTGAGAAGAACTTGCGATGAGAGGTACGTCACACTTGGTGATTTGATTAAGATGTTTGGAAGAGTACCGTTCACGCCTGGTCCACCAATACCTCCATTAAAGGTATGATTTATTATATCATACTTTTATTGTGTTTTAACAGTATTTTACTAATTCAGAACTTGTATATAGATTACACATCAATGTAACCAGTTTATATAATGTTGAGAAAAATATGAAGTTTAAAATTGAATAATATTAGAGAAGAAAGCAAAAAAGGAAAATTTTATTTATAGTCATCTAAAATATTCAAGTTTTACCGTATAAAGGGAAATTCAGAGATTTTGAAAATGAAGCTCATGAAGTTATACATTATTATTACATTCTCAACTTTTCAATTGTTGTTGAATATATTCATATTAGTAAGATTGAATATTTTCATTTGTTAGCAATTAGCAGAACAAGTGATTCCACCACCTGTTCCTAATGCTGTACCGGCTGGACTAACTCCTGGTGTTATTCCAAAGGCTGGATTAGAAGATCCATTACTATTGATGACATATCAGCACATGCAGATGCTACACAATCAGATGCTATTCAGGCAAATGAGAACATCAGCGATAGCGAAATTGTCGCAATCGGAGCACTGGTCTACATTAACTCCTGTGGAGCAGAATCAATTGATTTTACAATACGTCATACAAGATGGAATGCAGGAAATTCCGGAAGTGCCGATAGCGACAAATCCGTTTGTGCCTCACCTAACGTCTCAACCTAATCCTGTTATGCAACTTTTCACTCAAATGCAACAAGTAATGTCTTAGTATATTTTTGCTAATCTGACAATTTATTTTGCATCGTAATAATACATGATGTTATGCAGGCGAAAACGCAACCTGAGACTCATTTACCAACGAATCCACATACAACGGCGTCGGCCCATCCAACAGCAATGGATCCTATACAGCAACTTATCCAACAAATGGGCGGTTTACAAAACTTGCCCACTATGCAACAACCAAATATTGCTCCGACACCTACACCGACGCAAGAAGACAATCCAATAAAGTCTTTGTTACGTCAACTTAATGTCAACACAAATGGTCATCCTCAGGCAACCACCCATATGGATACTGTTTGGCCGCAGCCCCCGCCGCAAATGGTTCCCCAATTTAATGCGCAGAATTGGTTAGCGCAGGTGTGTTGTGGTTATAAATTAATTTACGTAAAAATTTAAGTGTTTAAGTGCTAGTAATTTAAGTGTTGATGATTTTTATCTATTAGTAATTTCATTTGTCTATTAATATCTTGTTTTCCAGGTCGGACCCATTCCCGCGATGCCACCAGGTCAATTACCTGGTTCTCTCTGGGATTTACATGCTAAAGATATGAAAACCGAGCAGCAAATATTGGTAAATTGGCTTTTATTCGGATCTCTCTTTGTATTATTTTTCACGTAGTTATAAGATAATCAATGTCTGATTTTCTTTTATTAGGAAGAACAAAATCTTAAGTTACAAGAAGACAGAAAAAAGGAAGAATTACGAAAACAAGAACAATTGCAGCGTCAAGTGGAAGAAGAGAATGCAAAAAGGAAGCAAAAGGAGGAACAAGCTAGACAAGCTGAGGAAGCAAAACGTAAAGATGAGGAAAGAAAGAGAAAGGAAGACGAAAAGAAACGAAAAGAAGAGGAAAAACGTAAACAGGAGGAAGAGCAAAAAAAGAAAGAAGAAAAGAAACGTAAAGAAGAAGAGAAAAAGCGTGAGGAAAAGAGGAAGCAGGAAGAGGAAAACTTTAAGAAGAGACAGGAAGAAGAAAAAAGAAAGCGGGAAGAGTTTAAAAAACAAGAAGAAAAACTAAAGAGAGAAGAGGAAAAAAAGAAAAAAATAGAAGAAGAGCAAAGAAGGCAAGAAGACGAGAGACTCAGGTATGTCTGTGAAATTATAAAAAGTTAATATTAGCTATTAACAAAGAATAAAATGACAAAATAAAATTTGCATGATGAAACTTATAGAAAAGAGGCGGAAATACGCCGACAAACGGAAATAGAAGAGCAAGCGCGTCGTGCGGAACAACGACGAAGAGAAGCCGAGGCATTGCGTAAACTTCAATATATATATATATATATGTATACACATATATATATTAATATGTGTTACATGTCTACATCTATTACCTTCTTACAGGAAGATCAACGGCTTCAGCTATTGATGCAACAACAGTTGGCACAGCAAAAGGCAGTAGAAGCAGCACAAGAAGCATCGGTAATCGACTCTTCAAAGCGATTGCAGTTCAAATGGGCAGAAAAGGCTATTACCGCTAGTAAACCTCTGCAAGTGAAGAGTCTCGCGCAGATTCAGCAAGAAGAGCAGGAGCGCGTCACTAAGGTAAAGGTACTTATTACCTCTTAAATATGCGAATAACGCAAAATATTGTTTTTGAAAGATTTTACATAATGAAGAATTGAAATATCTTAGCAGGAAAGGGAACGGCTAGAAAAAGCTAGTCAGAAAGAATCTGCGAATATGCTGCAGAATTCCGGAATATGGGGTACAGCATCACAGTGCTTGAATTGGGCTAATTCGAATGCATCAAGCAGCCAAATGTGGTCCACAAATTCCGGTACTACTACTGGGTTCTGGGATCCTACTCCTATTAAGTCGTCCACCCCCATAAAGCAGCCCGCTAAACAAACTGTAATTACAAAACCTGCCTCCAGCCAACAACAGCAGCAAAATAATAATAACAAAGCGTCCAAAAGTAAGAATAAGAGAGAAGAAGAACTAGTGAAGAAATTGTTTGAACAGAACACTGCCAAGACCGACGAATTCACGCAATGGTGTAATAAAGCATTGAGTAGTATACAGGCGTCTGTGGACAGTAAGTATTTTATATTGAATATTCTCAGAAAGAGAGAAAGAGAGAGAGAAAGAGAGAGAGAGAAAGAGGTAGAAAAAAGAGAGAACGAGAATGAGAATTTTGTTTTATACGCATATATAATACATTTACAGTCCCTACGTTTGTTGGATTTTTACGAGACATCGAATCGGCGTATGAAGTTAAGGAGTACGTTCGCGTTTATCTTGGAGATACCAAGCAGAGTGCGGAATTCGCCAAGCAATTCCTTGAAAAACGAAGCAAATGGCGATCAGCGCAACGTCCTCAGGCACAAGCGGATGACTTGTGTAAGCCAGCACCCGCTGTTAATCCAAATGCACCTGCAGAATTTCAAGAAGTTAAGGTATAATTAGAAGTTTATAATTACATATATTATCTTTGTTTTAAGGTATTCTTGTTAATATTAAATCATCTTGATATAATTATATATATAATATTAGGTGTTGGAATTAATTCGTAGCGTTTTTTAATGAAAGAATGTTATTTATTTCACATGAGCATTAAAAAATACATTAATGAAAGTACTTCCCATCACTTGTAAAACGCTACGAATTAATTCCAACACCTAATAACAAGACATAATATTTAATTAGATTTATTAAAATAAATTATATATTCTCATCAGAAATAATTTTCTTAGTACAATTTACATTATTATAAATATTATAATATTAAATTAATATTAAATATAAGTATTAATATTAAGTACAAGTATTTTTTTTCTCACATCTATGAAACATTGATTATTGAGAAATTTTTTTTTTTTTTTTTTTAGGGAAAATCCAAGAAACCAAAGAAGGGAAAGATGTTCAAAGTAGATAGCAGGATCCTTGGCTTCAGCGTAACTGCTGCTCCCGATCGTATTAACGTAGGTGATCGCGATTATGGCGAAGGCGTCTGAACTGTTTCACCAATTTACCTCGTAGAAATGATGCGACGCTCGTTTCATTAAACGGTTCGTTATTTATTTATTGTACATGCCAAACCGGTGCTGAGAAACCCAATGCGGGTATCTCTTAAAGCATATGAAGACTTTTTACAATCCAACACACGAAGAAAGAAGCTCATCCCTTCAAAGTTGATCGTCAATAAAGCGATCTTTATTTAGAACCGGCTGAGCGTGGCGTTATTTTCTTACATTACACACAAAAACTCCTTTGTACATATTACTCAAAGAATATTTCGCATGAAAGAAGATGGACTTACTTTTTCCTATGTACACAACTAAGGTTGGAAACTTTTATAACATTTCATCTCGCCATCGTCACTGAAAATACACAAGAAAAAAAAGGAGAGAAAAGTATGCCGACCGATAATTGTTCATGCGGATATATGGCAGTCAATAGCAATATGTGTATGTAAAGGTGTTCAATGACAAAGAAAGCAACATTATAGAACGTGCTTGAGATCGCGAAAATCATCACTTCTACGTCAAATACTGAATATACGGTGCGTCAGTATTTGTCCTTATTGAATCCTATGGATTTTCGCTTCATCGCAGACACACGTCGAGAAAAGAGATTTACTTTATATTACTATACATCATTTTGCAAATGATTTAAGGTGCAATTTAGCATGAAGAATCTTCCCTCACTCTTTAATACTTCTTCGCTGTCATAATATTGCAGTAATGATACTTTAAGCAGAACATATGATTATCGTATATGAAAGAAATACAATAACAGAATGGATACTTGTATTATATTCTGAAATGATGGACAAGGAGAAAAAGCGATTCAGAGCGTTACTTTCCTGATATTATGAGGATAATTATATGAAATAAAACTAGTGACTTTTGACTCAGCACAGTATTCTTCATTAGAAACTTTCGGTTTCATGATAGAAACACAATAGCGATTAAAGGTAATGTTCATAATGTGTATTACTACTTCCTCAAGAATATCGCATCAGATATCAGCGTTGATATCTTGGATGAAATCCTGGTAGCACTGATTACTGCATATATGGATCTCGTTGTCGTCGACATAGACTTCTTCTATACGCTGTAGTCGATCATATAATAATAAACATTTGAAAATACGAAAAGTTTGTGAAAGATTTAAGTGGAAGACGTAATACGTACAGAGAAAAATGGTATTTCTTTTATAAAGTTTTATTTTATAACTCTGTAAATGTCGCGTAGCTAAAAATCCGTAACTGCTTTTTAGCATTTTTAAGAAGGTTAATTTGGTTTTTTTTCTAATTGGACTAATATGCGTTTACACAAATACGACGTTGGATAAGCGTGGAATGTTGTGACAGATCTGACCACACGTAATATTATGATGGTTGTTAATTAAGGTTCACTGATCTTCTTTTGTACAAGATGGAAAACAGGAGAAGATCATAGATCCTTACATGAAAAGATTTATGTATAAATAGATTAATGTACAGAGTAATATAGTGATGATTAAACAAACCGATTAAAGCGATATAATAAAAACAGATAATTGATATTGTATCAATATATTCTATTATTGTATCTAACATACAACGTAATGAAATAAATATTATTATATTTTCAATTTGGCTTTCTTATTGTTTTAGAAATTAATTTATGTATCGAAATTAGATCTTATAATATCGAAAGAATTATATATAGCTGTATATGTAACAATATAAAATGTTTTTGTTAAAAGATAAATGTATAAAAACATTTGTATATTTTTTCTTGTAGATTAATGTATTCTATACTTTATATACTCTGTATATGTGCGGGTGATAATAGATGATTCTGAATGAAGATACATTTGTAATGGAATCACAAGTTCGAGAAGTCATTTTATTGATTCTTATAAAAAAAAAAGAAAAACCTTAGAAAAAAAAAGATATTGATAACAGAATAATGTTCCACGACGGGATTACATGAACATGAATTAACCTTTCTACTCCACATATTGCTACAAATAACTGCTTAAAAATTAGCGCGGATTGTTTTAAAAGTAAGCATAAATGATTCGTAATACATGCGACGATATTTTGTAATGCTAATGGACGCAATAAATCTTTCTTAAACATATGTACTAAATGTATGCGGGGTGAGCGGCGTTGCGGTTGGATATCGTTACGAATTGTTATACATGTTGTGCATTGATTCATACGATGTCATGTATCATAATAAAAATCATTTAATGGACAAATTAAATCTCTGTGTGATAAACATCTAGGCATGAATATCTCTGTACATATTTATATGTATATATACATATGCATGCGTGCGCGTACACACCACACACACACACGCGCGCGCGCGCACACACACACACACACACACACACATACGCACAAAAACTATAATATATATATTATATATATAATATATAATATATTAGGGATGAGATATTCGAAAACCACAAAACTCTGAAAAGTTTTAAGTTTTCAGAACACGAAACTTTACGCAATTTTTATTTTGATTCAAAACTCGAAACCTGAGGAAGAGATACTAGTTTCGGGACGCAACAGCATGTGGAAGGGATACAGCATGTGAAAGAGATAATAGTCAGCAATCTATAGTAATCTAATTGGTAGATAAAAGTCTGATAAGATTGCCATATTTTGTAGATGAATAATCATCCCCTTCACAGCAATATATCCTTTCATCAACTAATATTAGTAACGCTCAGTTAAAAATATTTCTTTTGATAATAAAATACATAAAATGAGCTCTTGTACATTTTTCACTAAAAAAAATCGACCTTTCGACATTTAAAATTGAGATAAATATAATTTTTCTATATTAAGAGATAAAACAGGATCATTACATGAATACATCAACTAAATAAAAAAAAAATTATGATCAAAATTAGATATTGGAATAATATTTCTATATATATTTTAATAATATATTTATTTCAGATATGACAGCGCGCCGATTACTTTGGGACGTGCAATACAATGAAAATAATAACAATAA